AGCAGAATGTCTTCTAATTCTAAATTTTTATATAATTCCCCTGGGAATCCATCCGGGCCCGGAGATTTATTCTTTTTCAGTTTGGCAATTGCTGTCTTTAACTCTGTTAATGTAATCTCTTTATTCAAAATCTCTTTTTCCTCCTCTCCGATCTGTGGCATTCCCTCCTCCAATAGATATTGTTTTACTTTCTCTTTGGGAATATCTTCTTCTTTATATAAAGACGCATAGTATTCGCGTGCTATTTCCAGTTTTTCTTCCTCCTTGGTTACAATGTGGCCTTCCGGATCCTCTAATTGGAAAATAATTCCTTTCTCTCTCTTTTTTTTAATTCTATAGGACAGCCACCTGCCTGGCTTATTGGCGTTCTCAAAATAATATTGTTTTGTTCTCTTAATTTCATATGCTAATTTTTCTTGATCCATTATATTTAATTTATGTTGGATGGTCATCCAATTTTCTTTTATTGTTTCGTTGTCAGGGTTTTGTTGTGCCTCTTTCTCTGCCTTTGCCAGTTCTTCTAGCAATGTTCTTTGAGCTTCTCTCCTCTCTTTATTTCTGTATGCTCCGTATGCTATCATTAGGCCTCTTAAATAGGCCTTCATCGTATCCCAGATTATTCCCCGGTCCATTGGTTCTTTTTCATTTTCTTCAAAAAAAATTGTTAGCTCCCCTCTAACTTTATCAATATTTTTTTTGTCTCGTAGGAATTGTGTGTTCATTCTCCATCTCGTATTCTTTCTCTTGTATCTACTCTTCCATCTAATTTCCAGTGGGTTATGGTCTGCCCAGGTGTTGGGTAAAATCTCTGCTAATACAATGTCCATTCCCATATTCCTGCTCACCCACATCATATCTATTCTAGACCATGATTTATTAGGATTAGAATAGAAAGTGTACTGTCTTTTATTTGGGTGTAATGTTCGCCAAATGTCTACGAGATTTAGTTCATCCACTAAGTCGAAGAAGGTTTTTGGTAGATTTTTCCTTTTTTTCTTTTGGCCTCTGGGTCTTTTATGATCTTTATTCACATCTACCACTCCATTGAAGTCCCCAATGATGCAAATATTATTATTATCCATTCTCCTTATTATTTCTCGCATTTTATTATAAAACTCTTTCAAATTTTTGTTTGGGGCATAAATCGCTGCTATTAATATTGGAGAGTTGTCTCTCTTGATTTCAACAATTAGTAGTCTACCTTTTGGGGCTGCATATTTCAATTCTGTTTTTATCTCTTTTTTGATATATAGTGCCACCCCTCTCTTCTTCTTCATGGCTAAGGAGGTATAAAGATTCCCCAATTTTTTATATTCCAAATATTTTTTGTCTTCTTGTTTAATGTGTACCTCCTGGAGACAGACTTTGTCTACATTTTGTGTGACTAATTTGTTAAAGAAAGTTTTTCTTTTTTTATAATCGTTAAGTCCATTTACATTGATCGATAGGATTTTCCAACCATCCATCCTTTTTGCCTTGTGTTGTTTTACTTGAATTTAAGGTTGGTGTTTGCTCGGACCGCTCTTTGTGGTCTTTGTTTCTTCCCTGCTTCTCTGCTTTCTTTCTCTTCCTTCTCTTTCTCCTCTAAACTCTCTTTCCCCTCCGGGGTCCCTTCTTTGGATCTTCTTTGGGTGAGTTCCTCTTCTGTGGTAGCTGCTTCCAATTCCTCTTTGCTACTCTGTTCATCTTCTGACCCTCTCAATTGGTCAAGGAATTCTTGAGCCTCCACCAGACTGTTTATTTTAATTTTCCTCCCTTGCCATGTAACCAGCATACCCTCTGGCAAGGTCCATCTGAAGAGTATATTCCTTTTATTCAGCTGTATGGCGAGGAATCTATAGTCTCTTCGTTGTTCTCTCACCCTCCTCGGCACTTGCTTCAAGACAACCACCTCCCTTTCCTTATAGTTGATTGGTTCTTCCTTTACCATTTTATAAAAGATGTCTTTAACTTTCTTCCGTGCGAATCTTATGTGTACCTCTCTAGATAGTTTGTTCCATCTAGCGTAGTTCGTCTGTACCCTGTACACCTCGTCCAGTTCTTTTATTATGTCATCTGTATCCTGTTGAAGAACCTCCGCTATTAATTCTGCCATTACTTGGCCCAGGTTTTCGTGCTTATCTTCTGCAATATTTTGGAAACACAGATAGAAAGAAGCTCTATCCATTTCCAGCTGCGTAATCGAGTCTTCCAGATCCCTATTCTGGGCCATTAATTTTTGATCTACTGTCTCTAGGTTCTTCTCTTGTTGTTCAATCTTAGATTCCATTTTTTGTATTCTCTGTTCGTTCTTTTGTATAGCTTGTTGTATGTCACTCATTTTCTGGTCAATGCCTTGAATGTCTGTTTTCAATTCTTGGTGATTGCTAGACATCTTCTCTTGCATTAAGAGCATTGTCTCTTGAATCGTTGCTAATGACGACTGCATCGCTTGCATTGTTGGAATCACTGATGATTTCTCAATTTTTGATAGCCCTTCTATCTACTTTTGGGTTGCAGGGGATGACATTGTAATTGTGCAGTTTGAGAAGCTGGAGGTTACTTTCTTTCCTGTTTTTGCCACAGTGGATGCAAGACTTGTCATCTCCCTCAGCACTTTTGCCTGTTCTCTGACTATCTTTTCTATGTTCCTCCAAATAATCATCCACTAATTGTCTTTCCCTTTGCTTAGATTAACAGGACTAGGAATTATTTTAAAATATTCCCAATTTGCAGGACAAATATTAAATAGCACAATCAAACAGTTTCTCCACTGTGCTACCAACTAATTAGCTTTGGTAGCTAATCAATATTTGAAAACAATATTTCTTATTTAGCTTAAGTCCTAATTATCAATTAATTAAATTCTCAATTCATAAAAAAAGCTCTCAGTACATATATATATAGTCAGCAGGAGACCAGTAAATTAATGCTCAATAGCCAATCAGTAAGCAGTTAATTAATTAATATTATAAGATAAATCACTGTTTAAAAAATTAATCCTTAATAATATTAGGCAATATAGTCAATCTATGCACATAACAAAAAAAGAAGGAAAACAAGAAAAGAGAGTAGATCCTAATATGACTATGCAGATATTTAACCTTATAATATACTGGTTATTTGATGCAATAAGAGTTGTATTCAACTTTATAAATATATTAATTAGCTATGTTATATTAATACTTTTAATACTTTAAATATATAAATACTTTAAATACTTTGAATGCTTATATAAATACTTTAAATACTTTAAATGTATGAAGAAGAGAAAAATAGATATAAATATATTGTAAATTTAAACTAATTTTAAACTAATAATAATCTATATAGGTACAAATTTTTATTCAGTTCTTCTTAGTCCCTTCAGAAACCACACTTATTAGAGTCTGTGCAGGAAAGTATAATAATTTAATATCACCCGTTTTATTTCTCGCTTCTTCAGAGTCTTATGAAAATGAGTTTAATTATTCCGTTTGTCTCTTCCTGGTGCTCCTTCTTTCCTCTCTAGCTCTTCATTATTCTTCTCATTGGTATCAAGTATGGTTGCACTTCCGGTCCTAATTTCCGGACATTCTCCTTTCCAATCAGCAAAATCTCTTTCCTACGTCTTCAGAGCTCTCTTGATCGATCCATACAGCAAGTTACATCCAAATCAGGTAGCGCCGCTGTTCCGCTTGCCAATCTCTCCTTCTTGTTTCTTGCCGGCCTGTCTGCGATCCTTTCAGCTGTCAAATCCTCCTCTTTCTTTCAGTCACCGCTTTCTCCTCCTATGAGACCTTTCGATCCGACCCAGCCAGCGAAGCTCTTGCCAATCTCAGGTGTGCTCTAGAAGAAGTGGTTATGAGTGCACTCCACCTCTCTTTCCCGGAATTCTTGCTTCCCGTCTTGTTAGCTATCGTGGCTTCGGGTCTGCCATTAACAGGCAGACGCGCCCCGTTGGTTTGACAGTGGATATCGGTCCCGCCGGGTGGGTTTGTGCTCCACCACTCGACTCACCGAAGCCCCACTATTGTCCGCGAAGCCCTCCAGGTTTCCACACCTCGAAGGGTCCCCAAAACATAGCGTTAAGTGGCAGTGGGAAGGAGCGATCGCTCTTACCACGCCATGCCGCCACGAGTCACCAACTGGACTCCTCAAAAGAGATTTGATATGGACAGTACACTGTCGTTGCGGAAAAGTGATGTATAACAAAAGAAAATGTATAATAAAAAACAAAATAAATAAAAAAAAACAATTAAATGTACAGATGACCAATTTACAGATTGCCATGATATAACTAATGCAGCAACTGGGACAGAATTTCCCTCAACTAACAAAAGGCAAGGATACTTATTTTTACTCTTGTTATTGTTAATTTGGATGGTGGAACTTTCTGTTCTTGTAGATTTTGGGGCAACTGCTAACTTCATAGACGTATAAATGATATAGAAGCTAAAGTTGCTGACCTAATCCCTATAAAGCCCAATGATTCTTAAAATCATGTATGGTAGCCAATGGCAACTAGAAGTTTAGCTTAGAGTAAGGTATTGGTGACCTGTAACAACTGTAGTCAACAACAAAGCAAGAGAACCAGTTGCCAGAATCCAAGTCTAAGCATTCAAAGCAAGGTTGTATTGTACACGGAGTAAAGACTATTGGAATTAATATCAGATTTCGCTATTTACAATAAAAACAGAGTTAATCCAAGTAACAAGAATCAAGAAGCTCAGATTAATAATATTCAAAGCAAGGTTTGTATTGTACACGGAGTAAAGACTATTGGAATTAATATCAGATTTCGCTATTTACAATAAAAACAGAGTTAATCCAAGTAACAAGAATCAAGAAGCTCAGATTAATAATATTAGAAAAAAGGAATTAATGATAGTTTTAAGACAGCTATAGCATTATCTGTACTGTAATTTTTTTTGTAATTTTCCTTACCATCAGTAACTTGAACTTCATCATGAATTGGAGATGACTTGTTCTGAGAAAGAGTTAACATTGTAGTATCTTGGAGTATTTGTGAAGCAGTTGTCCAAGGAACCATACCAGTTAATAGCACTTCTATCTTTTCCTCCAGTCTACTGCAGGCACGACAGCATACAACAGCTAGGAAAAAACATGTGAGATATTTTTTAGTTTTCATAACTTTATCTGAGATCATATTATACATGAAGAACCATTGTAATATGTAGAAGACACTTGTTACAAAAGCAGTCAGCATCTTAATTTGAAGGATATGTTTCTCATACTTGAGCATCACAGTATTATAACAATATTTATAACAACATTGACACATCTCTGAAATATATACCAAAAGAACTTTTTATTCATTCATGTAAAAAAAAAATTGGTCTTCTTTCATCTTAGTCTGGAGCTACAAACTGCTTTTCAGTTCCTGTCTATTAGTATGTAGAGATATTGTCTATACAAGATACATTTTTATCCATCCACATTGGGCTATTTAGTGCAGATTTTATTCCAAGCAGAATCTGTGACTCTCAGATATAGTTCAGGGGGTATCTGAATCTCCTATTAACCAGTAAGGATTCAGAACTCCAATAAGCTGTGAAACACCTATTTAATTAAAAAAGAAGATACAGAAGAAAGGCCTGATCCCAATGTAATCAACTGCATATAGCCTTTCAAACACTATAATAATCCAGGTAAGAGTAAATATAGAAGTTAAAAAGGCTTTAGCTTTGCACATACTTAAAATAGCTCCTTATGCAAATCCCAGTCCTTAAGATACAATGAAACAGATGCATTTAAAAGGAGTACAACTTAACACATTTTATGCCAAAACAATAGAGGGAACAAGAAAAAAATGAAGAACAAGAAAACCAAATAACACTATCCAGACCCTAGATGGGCAGAGATATTGCTTTGAAGAATAAAATAGTACTAAAAATAGTAATTAATGCCTCTATATTGTTACTGTAGTAGACTAGTCTGGTCAGGCCCTAAACTTCTGATCTTGTCCCCTGGAATATTACTCCCCCAGAAATCAGGCTTACCCTGACTCGAATGGCTTTCCTTAAGGACACAAAGAACTTGTATTATTCCCAAATTTAAGGTCCTGGATATATGATTGAGCCTGTGTCATAGTTACACTGATTGTCTTGGTTGGTTTTATTTTGGCCACTGTATATGTTATTTAGTTTTTGTTATGATGCTTTTATCTTGTTTTTATTCATTTAGTCTGCTGACAGTCATGCATCTGAGATGGGCGACATAAAGTGATTGATTGGTCACAAGTAAGTGAAGAAATAAATCTAGCACTCACATCTTCCCACTATTTCCATTTTCAACTACATCACGGGTGTCAAACTTGCCATGTCCTTTTGCCATCAATGTGAGATTTTGTGATGTTTTCCCCACTGGCAATGCTGGAGTGGGTGTGCCCTGTGCATGACACATCCGGCCCGTGGGCCGTCAGTTTGATGCCCCTGATTTACATAATGCAGCGGGGAGGCAAGATGGCTGCAGTGTGACAGCCTTTTTAGTGATCTCCTTATCCGCCTATTATAGCTACTCTTATTTGGATGTAAAATACTTTATTTTTTATTTAATATTATCTATAAATTAGTTAAGTTAGTTTTATTTTATTAGGAGTAGTAATTTTAGGTTTTAGATTTAGGATTACATAGCATTTAGGTTTTAGATTACGAGTTCTGGAATTTATCAGCATTTGCCAATGCTGTGGGAGTATGTTTTTAAAAAAATTAAACCACCCAAGGATGCAGAAACAAAGGCCAGCAGCAAAAGCAAAAAAGGTGTTGAAAAGAAAACTTAAAAGGAGACATAAATTGGAAATACATTTGGGAGGAAACCCCAAGTACAACATGGTGGTAACGACAACCAGACAACCAAAGATAAAGGACTTATTTCAAATAATGGACTCTGCAAGTAAATCGTCTTTTTTTTGTTCTTCCCTCCTCATAACCTCAGTAAATAAGCCCTGTTCTTTGCTGGAGTGGGAGGAGGAGGATTGTCTTTCCTGGAAAATGAGGCTCCATTAGGAGACAGAGAGGAGAATAAGAATAATATTAAGAGCAATTTTAAAGGAGACTTGGATTTGGTTGCCAAGAATTGCCTCCTGACAGCACAGTTATTGCTATATTTGACAGCTCTTGGAAGCAAACCAACAGATTGAAGAATTAAAGTCTCTAATGGGAAACTACATCTCTAAATTAGATAAGGAAGCAAATAGCAAAGCCCATGCTTCAAAACATACTCTTAATTCACAGATACTGTAGTTCACGTGGATTGGGGGCTCCAAAATGGAGAAGACATAATAGTAGATAAAATCACAATCAAAAACCTCTTGGATCACTAAACTGATAAATTTTGTAAATTTTGCCTTCCTGTTTCTTGTGTCACAGGGGAACAATCTAAAAAGGAGCTGCCCAAAGAATCAAGGATATAGAAGTGCAAAATGATATAGCTGAGCAAATACAAATTTACTTTTCAAATAGACAGCTATTTAAAGTTACAACTGCCAAAATATCTTAGGGAGATATTTACATGAGCAAGATTTCAACAGCTTGACACGATGGTCAGATATGGGAGATTCCATTCTATACCCTATAATGGACGTCTCTGCATTTGCGGAGTGGCAGAGGTAGAAAACCTGGCTCTCATCCTATTTTATCTGTATAAGACGGTGAGAGACATTTGTATATTTTGCCTGTATAAGAGGGTGAGAGACAGGTATCTTGGCCTATATCAGTGTTGGTGAACCTTTTTGGCACCAGGAGCACCGGAAACCCAAAGAGCAGTTCCCCAGCACACATGCGTGCACTGGGAAGATGAGCCAGTCACCTGGTCTTCCAGTTTCTGGCACCCTCCCACGCACAAAGACCAGCTGGCTGGCGCACATGTGCACACCGGAACCTGGAAGAACAATGGGCAATGGCTGGCATGCGCAGAGAGATGGCTCTGAGTGCCACTTCTGGCACACACTCTCTCTCTCATTGTCTCTCTGTCTCTTGCCTCCTTCTCTCTTTCTCTCCTCCCTCTCTCTGTCTCTCTTTTATCTCTCTCTCTCTGTCTGTGTCCCTTGTCTCTCTCTCTCTTTTTCCCTCCCTCCCTCTCTCTCTCTCTGTCTATCTCTCTCTCCCCCCCTCTCTTTCTCTCCCTCTCTCTCCCCTCTCTCAATGAGTTGATGAGCAAAATAACAGAACTATTTTCAGGACTTTCAGGGACACATTTCACCCTTAAAATATACATCTCTCCCTCCCCCCCCCCTCTCTCTGTCCCTCCCTCACTCTATGTCTATCTTCGTCTCTGTGCCTCTTGTCTCTCTCTCTTATTCCCTCCCTCTCTCCCCCCTCTCTTCTCCTTCCTCCCTCCCTCCCTCTCCCCTGAACTGGTGCTGGGTGGTGGGAATCTGATGTCTGGAGGCCAATGAACCCAGGAGCAGTGTGCCAATGAACAGCTGGTCACCTGAGAGCCGAAGACCAGCTGGCCAGTGGGGTGGCGGGGCATCACAACAGCAGCAGCTCTGCAGGAAAAGCAACTGACATCCGGGAGGTGAGAGCAAGCTGACGCCAACGCAAGGTCGCATTGTGGCTCCACGTCATAATGGGCTCCAGGAGGAGGAGATCCCATCTCCTCCATTGTGAAGCATGCTAAATTTCACTGTGCTGCACAAGGCACTGCAAGAGCAGCAGGTAGGCCATGGGTGTAGCAATAGTAAATGTACTGCGATGAAGGCAGAATGCTGTTTCGCACAAAGGCAAGTGCAAGGGCCACGACAGGGCAACAACTCTTTTATCCCTCTGCCATGACTATCTACATAATGCAGGCCATAAAGTGACCTCCATGTGTGATTACAAGGAATGATTTAATAAACTTGACGTCCAGCTTTCTAGAGAAGGTTGTAGTGAGGAAGAACTACAATAGAATGCCAGATAGTTTTCCAGAGGAATGGGGAAGGGAACTTCCTAGCAATGTGAACCAGGAATATGTTTGTGGGAAGATTTGGCAAGATCCAGTTGTTCTCTGGGCATTTGTTCCCTTGCTTGGAGTTCCTAGAGAAAGCAGGTACAGATAGTCGTCCTATTACAACAACAATTGGGACCAGAAATTCCATTACTAAGTGATGTGATTGTAAAGCACAACATAGCATGAGCAGGTTGCTTAGATTAGAGATGGCAATTCCAGTTGCCATTATTAAGCAAGGACCATCTGGGTTTTTAAGGAAGAAAATCACATGATCATGACTTCTGATTTCCTGCTGGCTTCCCCATTGACTGCTTGTGGGAAATCAGCAGGGAATATTGGAAATTGCTATTATGTGGCTACAGCTCACTGCAATGTCATAATCATGAGCTGTATACTGAGTGACTATGGGGATGCTGCAATGACCAGAATTCCAAGGTCTGAAGTACCATTGGTTTAGTGCTGTGATAACTTTGAACAGTCAGTGAATGAAAGAACTATCTATGGTTAAACCAGCAATGAGAGCAGTGGTGAAATGTAAAATTTGTTACTATTGGTTCTGTGGGCATGGCTTGGTGGTGGTGGGTAATGTGACTGGGTGGGAGTGGCCAACTTTTTTTTTTACTTTTAAAAGCATTTTTTCTACAACTTCTTCATCTGAAGAGGTTGTAGAAAAAAATGCTTTTAAAAGCCTCTGACGATCCCAACTGAGCTGCGCAATCATCAGAGGCTTTTTTTTTTACTTTTAAAAGCATTTTTTCGGCCAGAGAGGTTGTAGAAAAAATGCTTTTAAAAGTAAAAAAAAAAAGCCTCTGATGATCGCGTGGCTCAGCTGGGCATGGGGGGGGGGGGCAGGGACTTTTGCTACCGGTTCTCCAAACCACCTGCCGCCATCGCTACCGGATCAAGTGATCCAGTCCGAACCAGGAGCATTTCACCTCTGAATGAGAGCATTGTTTCAATGTGGCATTCATCTAAGTTTTACTATCAGATTGCAATTGATGGTGTGGAAGAATGATATTTAACATTTAAGAGTCTTTTTTAAAAATTTAGAAATGGGCCATGAATTGACAATCTCTATTAAAGTTCAGATGATTAGGGATGCCTCAATGTCAAAAAACACAGTGAATAACCAGATGGACCATCTCGGAAGTGGAGGAAAGGTCAAAAATATTATTTTCCTGATATGTCAAATGTCTTCTATTTAATATATCAGCTCAGTTTCTATGTGCACAATTGCTCAGAAAAGTTTTTCTTGTGCTCCAGTGGTTTCACAAACTGAACCTGGGACAGTAAAATGTTTAGGTCACCAAACAGGGGCCATAAGGAATAAAGGGTTTAGGTTTGCATGATAGAAAATCAGCCTGTTCATTTCCATATTCCAGTGGTTACTTCTAATTAATTTTGGAGTGGCTTTTACTTCTGAGCCTTCTGAGATTGGGACTCTCATTTCCTGAAGAGCTAGTTCTTTAAGGTTTTATATTCAAACATGGAGCATTAATGTTTCCACTGAATTCATTAGTTAAATGAGCTTATCCTATAGTTCATCATATAGATCCTCTTTAAATTGATCAACTATGAATATCTACATCCTGATCCAACAACTGAAAATTAGTCATATACTGCATATTCAACTTGTAAATGTCACATCTTCTTATTGGCTATTACCCATTTGGCAGAGATATCAAAGATAACTTTTAGCCTTACTATGAAGTTAGCATGCATATCATATTTGGTTCTGTTGCAAAAAAGTATCATATTGCAGACATTCTGATAAAAATCCTACATGGGACCTATCAAAAGAACTTTAATGTGAGATTACTTCCTTTGCTTCTGCCCTTGCCTGATCTAATTATCACAGTCTGCCAGAATTTTGAATTCTTCCCTTTTGCCTTAAATGTCTTTAACAGCTGTATTCAATGCAAAAAAGTTTTAGCTGCATAATTAACTTAAAGTCAATCACAAAAATGTCATACAAATTGGTTTTTTATAAAATGAGCCTCCCCCCCAATTTAAATCTTAAAGTTAAAATATGTAATACCAATAGTCTTAATAAGCAATAATGACTGCTATACAGCATATCAAACGATACCTTCAGTATTCTTGGTTCAGCTTTTTCATATTAAGATAGAATTGATTTGATTGATTTAATGAGATGGCAGCAATGATCCAAGATAGTGTTGGCTATGCTTCAAGTCTCTTATTACATTAAAGTTAGTAAATTAAAATCTCCAATGACTGTTATGCATGGGAGATTCTTAATGCATAATTATGGCTTGGCAAACTATAAATTCTCAAATTCTCATATTAT